GCCAACCATTTCTTTGCGCTTCAATTCTTCACGTATTTCAATGAATCCGATATTAGTCTCGAGTGTAAAACTGTTGCCAATTATGTGAACGATCACCAAAACGAGGACTGGGCTCTCAGATGTATGTTTTATATTGTATTCATTTATTGCATTTTAATATAAATTATTTTAAGTTCTTGTCTATTAATTATTTTTAAACATTAAAATTTTTAATTAATTAATTTTGTTTAAATACTCAAATATTCTGTAAAATATTTAATGCAGAATATTCTTGAACTAAATGTTAGTTTCAGTTTTCATGAACTAAATACGAGTCGCTATTTTAGGCAATAGTTTATCAGTTTGTTTGCTTAGAAATAATTAAAATTTTTATAAATGTTTATTTATTAAATTATTTTATTTACTTTATATTTTCTATTTATTAGCAGAAAGTAAAAGTGAGTTGTTGTCAGCATTATGTCTGCAGTAAAGATTATTATATCACTTGTGTATACGTTTAAAATAAATAAATAATAAATATAAATACTGTAATATTTTAATACAATACCTAATAATTGCAATTTAACCTACATTTTAAAGATACGATCCAATATTATTAATAACATTATCCAATAATAATTAGATGATAAATAATAGACTGTACAATAGTTTATTACTAAATTTAAAATTATCTACAGTATATCAATTAAAATTGTATCAATGTAAAAATAAGAATTTCCCACATGAACGACATTTCCTAATAGCTAATAGCTTAAGAATTTGTTTTTAGAACTAACATTGTAATGGGCACTACATGTAATGTGTATGGGCAAGCTCAATTCCCTAAATACACTAATTATTCTAATGTTGATATAAGTCCTAATGTATTAAAGGAAGATCAAGTTTCTTTTATGTATGGTTTATGTTATTATTATTCCAGTGGTCTTATAATGTTTAGGTAGGTTTATTATAGCTATTATAATTTATATAAGTTAAGTAAATAACCAAGTAAAAATACATGTACAATTTCATATTCATTCATTTTAAAAATTATATAAATATTTAATATAATACTTTACTTTACATATTTGATATATTTTACATTTTACGTAATGTATATGTAATTAATTCAGTAAATATACTGTATATTATTTCAAAATTATTCAAATGAAATGAAATAATTTAGATATTATAATTTATTTAAAAATAGCTATTTTCCTAATAATTTATTTATTTATTACTAATAAATTATTAGTATTAAATATCAAATTAATAATTTAATAATGTGTTATAAACAGTGATCGATGCGAGTGGTGTCGTGGGCTCAGGTCTAGCGAAAGGCAACTATCAATATATGGGAGACTTTGATGAATGTCTGGACATTCGCGTCATAGTACAGGGCGACCAACAAATTGCCGGTATTGCCGGCCACTACTGTACATTGGATTTGCCCATGAGCACATTAATTGGACAAACATCCAAACATAAAGTAAATAACATTTATTGATCATTTATGCAAATATTACGATATAAAAGTTAAATAACTTTAATTTAATTATTAATGAATGTGATGAAGACTGCCTACAGATATGTCTGTAAACTTTTTATGGCTAAATATTTAACATATAATAAATTCATAGGCTTTGGATATCGAGAGCCTTCATTTGACGCCAACTCTTGGTATTTGTTTGCCGACCGCTTGTAGTCGTGAAGACCTAAACAATATCCTTAAAAAATGTAATTTATTTATCAATCATTTCATTGCTTATAAACATATTTTTTTAATTTTCAGTAATATTACAAATAAATCCCATTTATTAATGGAAAATTTTATTTGTTTAATATTTATAACGATATTTTAGTAGAATCGCAAATATAGAGTAAAATAATTTTCAAATTCAAGGATTTTTCCAATGAATTCATATAAATAACATAATTATCTATATTTAGATCAATGTTTACATTTATAGTGGTAATAATAAATTGAAAATTGTGATGTTTGCAATTTATTATTTATAGCTATTTTAATGGTAATTAAAAATATATTTAAAAAATAATTTACAATTTTATAGTTTCATTAAATACTGGAATTAATGTATCGGTCAGTGATTGTACCGATTCTGATGGCAATCAAATTCAATGGTATCACACATTCATTCTGTGAGTTATTTGTTTATATTTATTTAATAAATCGTTTAGGTTTTAGAGTTAATTAATCAATCACAACGTTATCTTGAGAAATTATTTTAAGTTTTAAATTTCTGCTACAATTTTTACACTCAATTCAATATGAAAATTGATAAATTTTGACCTTGTTAATTTTTACAGTTATATAATATTAATTTATAACAATACATAATTTTGAAATAATAAAACTTTCACATTTCTATGTCAATCATATAGTTCTGGTTTTATCACAATATTATTACTTATATTTTTTGGGACTTTCACTGAAGTCATAAATCTGTGCACAAAAAATGGTAAAAATATACCATTTATTTTAAAACAATATTACTAGTACTAAACTACTAAAAAAATAATACAATAATAAATTATATTTCAATTAGTAATACCCGGAAAAGTGATGCAAACATTGCAATCATTTTCATTTTACTCAAACACCGATCGTTTGTTGAGCACCGGTAACGAAAAGGACACAATCGGATGCTTTCACGGCTTCCGATTAATTAGC